GAAATGTTTGCGTTCGGGAAACCATCGAGCTTTCGACCGTCTGCTTTGGAAATCGATAATACATTCTTCTTCAACTTCTTTTTGTCAATAAAACAGTCACCAAAGGGAATGGATTCACGCACAGGGCGTTTGTAAACACCTTGACCCGAAGTAGATGGTTGCTTTCCTTTGCGTATTGTATTTAATTCTGTTTCCAAGTTTCGTATTTTATTTTCCCGTTCGTCCACACTTTCCTTAACAAATAACCAATCAGTATATCTTTTTATCATATTATCGTATGCGTTGTTTTGTCCACGGTATATTAGTTTGTCGACTTGTTTTTTGATTCTGTCGTTTTTTTGCAACAACTCTGTTTTCAATGCGGCAACTGCTTCATTATTATTTTCATTCTTAGCATTTTCCAACTTGTTCAATATCTCATCGCGCTCTGACCTTTCATTAAAGATGTCTCGTGATAAATTATTGTACTTGTCTTTCCATGCAGGTGGAACTTGTTCTTCTTCTTTCTCAATTGCTCTGAATGCTTTCTCCTCTTGCTCGCCTTCGAGAGATTTTTTGATCTGAGCAATTTGTTTTATGATACTTTTCTCCAGAATGTCACTACTATCCTTCTCACTTCCTCTTGTATCCCCTGATTTTTTACTTCCCTGTGTGTCAACATAGGGTCTGAATTTTTCAATAGCATCCAGCCTGATTGTAACGTCAGCCAGATCATCTAACGTTACATCAATCTGACTCTCCAATTTATTAATTTCATTTTCGTCGCCCACCTTGTACTGTTGGCGAAAGGCTGCCAATTCACTTTGGCTCTGAAGAAGATTGGCTTTATTTTTGGCAATATCTTCTTCTAACTTGGATACTACACTTGGTTCGGATCTTGATCGTGCTCGTAAAAGCTTATCATTATCATTGGCTATTAAAGATTCACGCTTCGCAATAGATTTCTTCAATTTTGAGGTTTCGATCACTGCTTTTCTGATTTCATCGTCCGACACTCCTTCGCTGAAGAGTTCGGTAACAAAACCATTCAAAGTGTCTTCTAACGACTTTTTTTGTTCAGGGAGCTTTGATAGATTGCTGATAAGGACAGCTCTCTTCACCATCGGCATATCGTCATATTCATTCTTGATTGGATCTGTTACTGGTCTCGGTTTCAGTTTTGGTGTAGTCATCGATGGTAAATCATCGCCAGCTGGTGGTAATGATGGTGGCGGTGGTGGTGGGGGTGGCAGGAATGATGGTGGTGGTGGCGGTGGTGGTGCACCCACGCTATCATCATTACCATTACCATTATCATTGTCATTACCATTATCATTGTCATTGTCATTATCATCACCATTATCATTACCATTATCATTACCATTATCATTACCATTATCATTATCACCCTCATCTCCGGCTGACGGAGCATCTGGTCGGGGAACCGCTGGTCGAGGAGCCGCTGGTTGAGGAGCCGCGGCATTTCCCATCAATTGTGTGAGTAACTTCAAAAATGGGACAAGGACACGAGTATCTTCTGGCGTTATTTGTTGACTGAATAATCCTTCAGTTAGTAAATTCTCTGTTGGAGCAAGAGCTTTACTATACACCTGTTGCTGTCTCCTGTCTGCGACTTTCTTTTCAATCGTAGGCACATCCAAATCCATCCCTGTGAGGAATTCATAGCGATTTATATCTCCGTCCGCTATAGCTCTTTTCAGCGCTAATTGTCTCATTACCGCGCTCTCTCTCATGTCAATTTCTGCTAGACCAATGCGGTCGACTTCTCTGAATCCAACCATTTATACATTCGAATAAGATTTTGTATCAAAATGGAGTATTATTTACTTCATTTTGAATCTATCAGAAATTTCAAGTATTATTTGACAGTCGAAATCGACCGTCTAAGATTCTCTATGAAACTACTAGTATTATTTACCGCACCTCCTTTCTTCTTCCCTTTCTTTGATGCGGCTGGTTTCTTCCCTTTCTTTGACGCAGCTTCTTCTTGCCTATCAGATTCATTATCAATTAGTTTTCTCTCTCCTGTTTTGATTTTACGCTGACACGATGCGATGAGCTTTTGGACGGCCTTGACCTCTGGAGATTTAGAATCCATGCCTTCGTCTGAATAAAGGTTATTTCGATACTGTTCAAGCTTAATTAATTGAGCTCGTAATTCATCTACTTTGGTACTGATTTGTGTGTCTGACAGTTGTGCCCAAGGTATGGCCACAGACAGCTCTGTAGTGATTTTGCGGACGGCAGCTTCATTCACATCATCATCTGTAAACTCGATATTATCTATGTCATAAACATCATCATCTTGTTCAGGCGCATACGTGGGGTCGTTAAGTTCAGAATCAGCAGAGCCACTAGGTGAAGAAGGTTGAGAAGTCTGAGCTTCGTCGTATAAAGCGCGCAAACTAGCGTACGCAGGAGGAATATTCATATGTTCGTAGATTTTGTTGTAATGTTGTAGATCTGCTTTGGTGATACTCTTTTCTCCGTCTGCAACAACACCAGCTGGATCAAACAAGAGCCTTTGTAAACCAACAGTCATTCGCACGGCTTCGCTATCA